ATGGGGTTCTCCCACCACTTGGGAGGGGAGACCCCTAACCACTGACAGTTACACTGTGGGTTATTGCACTGCTATGGCTCATTGACCCCAGCTGGGGTCTGGCCCCATTGGCTCTAATGGAGCTATGGCTGATTGATATCAGCTGAGGATTTGGCCCATTGACTGAAGGAGCTACAGCCCTTTGACCCCAGCTGGGATCTGGCCCCATTGACTTCAATGGAGCTAAGGTCCCATTGACCCAAGCCTGGTGAGGGGACAGAGAATAGGACATAGGGCTTTTCCCCTCTAGGGATCACAGGGTCCCATCTGGCCCCAGGCAAGAGAACTGGCTGGCTCAGTGGCTTGTACATGTGAGAGGCCCTCCTATCACTGATGCCTTGAAGTTCGGTGTTTGGTCTCTCTGACCTCAGCTCCTTCCCCTGTATCTCTCATGGTGAGGGAAGACATATGAGAAGGATCAAAGGGCCAGGTTCCCATCCGCAGCTGAGATGAATTTGGGTTAACCACAGCTCCCACTACAATAAGCGGGGAGAGACTCTACTCTCTCTAGGGTTAGGGGGGAAGTCCTGTCCCCTAGCTCAACACCCGATGTTCCTGGAGACAGAGGCTGCAGGGCCCCAGCTGGGCACAATGGGGCATGGACCAGCCCCAGCTGTGCAGACTCAGATGGGCCTGACCCTCCCCACAGCCCACGTTGTGAGGTCTCCAGAGAGCCACATGGCAGAGATTTCAGAGTAGCAGCCATGTTACTCTGTATCTGCAAAAAGAACAGGAGTACTTGTGGCACCTTAGAGACTAAAAAAATTATTTGAGCATAAGCTTTCGTGGGCTACAGCCCACTTCTTCGGATGCATAGAATGGACCATATATTGAGGAGATATATATGCACATACAGAGAGCATAAAAAGGTGGGAGTTGTCTTACCAACTTTGAGACCAAGTAAGTAAGAGAAAAAAAGCCCAGTACAGACAGTTTGATAAGTGTGAGAATACTTACATGGGGAGATAGATTCAGTGTTTGTAATTAGACAACTCCCACCTTTTCATGCTCTCTGTATGTGTGTATATATATCGCCTCGATATATGTTCCATTCTATGCATCCGAAGAAGTGGGCTGTAGCCCACGAAAGCTTATGCTCAAATAAATTTGTTAGTCTCTAAGGTGCCACAAGTACTCCTGTTCTTTTTACATGGCAGAGAGTTTCACCCTGAGGTTTTTCTGTCCCCCAGCCATGTCTATAAACACCCAGCGCTGTGTGAGAAGCACCTTCTCCTTCCCTGCTCTGGTGAAGAGGATGCTGCTACTACTCCTGCTCCCTGTGGCCGTTCTCCTGCCCCCAAGGGCTCGAGCTGGTGAGTATGGAGGGGGGGGGGGGGCGATATGAAGCAGAGCCTGCACATGGCTCAGTGGAAGGTCCTGGGAAGGTCCTGGAATCCTGGGGGCTCTGAAAGAAGGTGGGTTCTCCTCACCATCTCCCCAGCTGCCTTGTGGGGTGCCCCAGGGCTGAGGCATCTGCAGAGTGGTGGAGTGGGGTGGGGAGCAGATTGGGGGAAGCTGTTTCCATACATCCGTGAGGATCCTGTCTGCTTTAGGGAAGCTTGCCCCTTTAGCTCAAGGACTGTGCTCCAGGGCTGGGGTCAACCACAGAGTCCGGAGGCCATTGCATCAGCACCTTTGGGAGCCCATCTAGATTTCCTGCACCAGTAACCAGTACAGCAGTGCTCGAAATGCAGATGACTCCTGTGGCTGTCTGTTCAAGGCACAGCAGCCTCAGGGCTGCCCTAACCTGTCTGTGCCCCAGGGGGGCATTCTGGTAGCTGGGCAGAGCCAGACACATCTAGGGCTTGGCATAGATCTGCTCCCCCCAGTTCTAGGCTGCCGGGGGGCCTGTCAGAGGGATTGCTCTGACAGCTGATTAATGGGACGGGTGTTGTCAGGGCAGGGTTAGTCTGGAAAGACCAAAACCCCCATGGCCGGTGGGTGAGGGGCAGGTCTGACCTGCGACATGTGGGACAGGGTTTCAACAGAGCTCCACAACCACCAGCCTCAATGGCATTCCCCAGTGAACTCAATGGGGAGGGAGGTGATTGTCAGAGATCTCCACCTTAGCTGGGTCGAGGGGCCGATCCAGGAGGAGGGGGCAGAGAAACTGGGCTGGCTGGGTTGAGGGGATGATCTGAGGCAGCAGAGGCTGAGGATGAGGGTAGGGATGTGTCTGGGGTCCTTGATTACACTATCCAGCCTCATGTTGTCCCAAAGCAGCTGAGTTTTGCCCCTCAACATCTCTCTGCCAGGGGAGATCATCGGAGGATGGGAAGCTCAGCCTCATTCCAGACCCTACATGGCCTTTGTGAAGATAGGGAAAAGAGGACACTGCGGAGGGTTCCTGATCCGGGAGTATGTGGTGGTGACGGTGGCTCATTGTAACTGCAACCTTGGGTAAGAAATGTGCCATCCCCCACTCCTGAGCCAGCTAGTCCCTGTCCCGGGGCTTGTCTCTTGACATTTTAGGCCACTAATGGCTTGAGGCACTGTTGTGCTGGGTATGGAAGGTATCAGCAACAAAGACCCTGATCTGCTGCTCCAGGAATGGTATTATTACTGCCCTTGGCCCGAGCAGTGAGTGGGGGTGCTGCAAGACATTTCTAGTCACCAATAATGTTCATGCTAAATGCAGGAATTGTTAAATATGGACTTAAGAAACTGAGGGGAAAAGGACACTATCCATCTTACTTTGGGTGAGGCTTTTACTCACGGTTTATATTTATGAACCCTGTTTGTGATGTTTTCCCAAATTAACGCCCAGTTACTTCCCTCCCTTTATTAAAAGTTTCTTTTCTACACTCAGACTCTGCTTGTGAGTGGGGAAGTATTGCCTCTCAGGTTACTGGGTGGGGGCTCGAGCCGGTTCTGTGCTGGATCAATGGAAAGGAACCTCTAGATATTGAACCTGGCCCTGGCTGCTGCTGGCGCCACCAGGCAGAAGGGTTACATCTACAAAGAATGTCCAAAGTACTTTTTCTCTGAATGCAGTCAGAATTAAGCAAGTGACTGTGTCTTTATCCCCAGTCCTAAGCCTCTTTCAGCCAGCACTCTGCCCAAAAGCTCTCTCCCCAAACTTAGCAGAGGGTCACGCTACCCATGCTTCTTTGGCTATGGCTGGTGCCTTCTCTGGCTGCTTCTTTGCTCTTTCTGCTGCTTCTCTCGGACACACACAGCTCCACCAGTCAATGCCGCAGCCCCTGGATTTGCTACTTCAGTCCCCAGGGAAATCCCTTGGGTCACACTGCTCAGGTTCTACTCAAGCTCTCCCATGTGCCTGTGGCTATGTCTATATGACACAGCCTGTGTTGGCCCAGCCCCCCAGTACAGATGCAGTGCACTCTGAAGCAACGTGTTTTTCTGCCGTTGTAGGAACCCCAACTCCCTAAACGACATTAGCTATGTCAATAGTGGCCCTCTTCCATTGATAGAGCTGCTTCGACATTGGGACATTTGCCAGCACTGCTATGTCAGGCAGGGATGTGGGGTTTTACCACACTGGCCAATATAGCTATGTTTTAAGTTTAGGCCAGGCCTGTGTGATGGGTGGTGATCCTAGTGATTCAGCTTCCTGGTTACATAAACAAGCATATCATGGATTCTGTGCATTGATCATGAGTGCAAGGCAGCATCTATACACACTCTTCAGCTAAATTAATGGCCCATGTCTGTATCGACAGTATTGGCCTATCTGCAGCAACTCCATCCCCTTGTATTTCTTAGCACTATCACCGTGGTCCTGGCAGCCCACAATGTTTCAAGACAGGAACCGGGAAGGCAGGAGATCTGTGTCCGTCACCGAATCCCCCACCCAGAATACAATGATGAGACATTGGAAAATGACATCATGCTGCTGCAGGTACTGTCCCCATCCCATCACCCCACCCCTGTGACCTCACACTGCTGCAAGTACCACCTCATCCCATCCACCCCTGCCCCCAGTGACCTCACACTACTGCCCCCATCCCATCACCCTTCTCCTAAGGACCTCACACTGCTCTTGGTACTGCTGCTGTCACCGGGCTGTACCTGCTATGTCCTCCTTGTCATTCCTCTCTCTGTTTGATCCCCCACCCCTGATGTTACTCAGATCCTTGTGTCCTTGCTCATCTATTGTTCCCTCTTTCTCTTTGGCAGCTGGAGTCCCTGGCACAGGTGAATGACTGGGTGAGACCCATTAAGCTGCCAAAGGCAAAGCAGAAAGTCAAGCCAGGCACAAGGTGCAGTGTGGCTGGATGGGGACTTACTAGCTCAGACACTGGGAAGACTTCAGATGTGTTGATGGAGGTGGAGCTGCCAGTGAAGGAGAACAAATTCTGCATGAATTACTTTGGCAGGCAGTATAACTATAAGTCAATGCTCTGTGCTGGGGATATGGGAGTCCCTGAAGGAACCTTAGAGGTAAATCTCCTTCTGCCTTGGATGGTTCTAATTCTCAGGGAGCTGTGATGGGGCTGGGTTTGGGCCTGGGGCTGGGGTGGCATTTGCTGGAGAAGTACATAATGGAGGTGAGCTGGGAACATCTCCTATCAGCTTGGCCCAGAGAAGTAAACTCCCGGTTGTGTCTTGCATTAAGGGGCAAGGGGAAAGCACTGGGTCAGACATTCCTCACCCTGCTCCTTGTTTTGTTTTTCAGGGTGATTCTGGGGGCCCCCTGGTGTGTAACGGGGTGGCCCAAGGCATTGTCTCCTGGGATTTTAAGGATCAGTCTGCTCCTGAAGTCTACACGAGAGTCTCACACTTCATCCCCTGGATAAAGAAAGTGATGAAAAAGTTACCTCATTAAAGCAGAGCTTCCCAGTGCCTCTCTATGAGCTGTAATGTCCATCTTCTGCTACTCTTCAGGGACACTGGACTCCATTCCCCAATGGCCTGCCCCTTGTGCTGTGGGTGGCTCCAGGACAAAGATGATCTAGATCTTTCATAGCTGTTGACACCCTCTTTGCACTGGTGCATGAGATGCGGGATAAGGAAAGATCAGACCCAACAAGCCAGAGCTTTAGGGCTTGTCTGCTCACAAAGCTGCACTGGTTTAATTCATCCAGCACTGCCAGATCTCTCCATTTAATCACAAGTCTCACCAGATTGGCTGCTTTTTGTTAATCCCCAGCTGCTGGAATCATATGAGAATCTCATTTTTTAATCAAAATATTGAAGTATATTTCTGTCCCTTGCAGTTCTGGAGAAAACCATCACAGTATGAACCCCAAAATCTCCTTCACCCGAGGGCAAATAGGTATAACTCAACATTTAAAAAATAAAATCTCATATTTTGAAGTCAATTTAATGATTTCTGGATACTTGGCAGTGGCAGCATTGGTTAAATCATTTTTTTTCTGTCGATTATTTAAACCAGTGTGAAACCCCATGTGGATGGATGATTGATTTGTCTCCATTTACTTTGTGTTGTCCACATGAGCAAGATGCATCCATGTAACCTAAGGTGTGACTTTAAATTGGTTTAGTTAAATCAGTGCAGATCCTCATGTGGACATTCTGATTTTGGCTTAGCTAAATCAATAGCGAACAGGTTTCAGCTACACCGAAATAAGCCACTTGGAAACCAAAATTCACATATCCGTAGCTTTTTAAAGCTCGAACATAGCAAGGGCCATACTGGGTCTGACCAGTGGTCCATCTAACCCAGTATCCTGTCTTCCAACCATGCCAGATGCTTTAGAGCAAATAAACAGAACAGGGCAATTATCAAGGGATCCATCCCTTATCATCCAGTTCCAGCTTCTGGCAGTCAGAGGATTAGCGACACCCAGAGCATGGAGTTGCAACCCTGGCCATCTTGGCCAACAGCCATTGATTGGACCTATCCTCCTCATTCAGTCTGACCTGCTGACCCTGCCCTCCCCCACTCCACTTCCCCAGCATCCAAGCACCCGCACTGTGGATTGCATTGGTTTGTTAGTATATAGGATTGTTTGTCAACCTAAGACAGAATTTTGGGTTTGACTTTTGATACTCTTATATCCTTACTAATATGTGTGAAGAACAAAGACACTGTGTGTTACATCTGCCCACAAGCGGATAGGGTTAAAAGACATAAGAGATGGAACTAAAATGTTACTGGGTATGGTGGTAGTGTGATATACGAGCATACATTGGCCTCTTTCTCAAGCCAAGGTTAAGCAACCAGTTAGGAGGGCAAGCGGGATGGGGGGAGGCATAAGAAACACTAAAAGCCAAAGGAAATCCTGGCCTTGGCCAGAACACAACCTCATTCCTTACCCCTCCCATGGGATACAAAAGGGACCTGCCAAAGACCGGAAGTCCGAAGCGCAGGCCATGTGATGTTTATTGGGGTTAGTTCCAAACGGCGATTCAGACTTCCGGTCTTTGGCTTTCTGTCTGCATGACAAGAACCAGGGGAGGGGCTGAAGGGAAAGCCCTCTAATGGGGTTTAAAACTGATTGAAGTAAGTCTTTCCCATGTAGAGAAGGCATCCCGAGTGCTGGGCAGACCGATGACACCACTTTTAACCTGATGTGGGTCTGTGGAATTATTACTAGTGTTGGTTATTTCTGTTGGGGGAGCTCCAGTCATGTCCCAGGACACTGATGCACCAGGTGCTGTACATTCACAGAACAGAAAGACTCTCCCTAGCCCCAGGTTAGCCGATGGGGGGGAGGGGCAAAGGGGACAATTGCCCAGGGGCCAGAGCAATTTAAAAGGGCCTGGGGGTCCCGGCCACTGCTGTAGTAGCTGCAGCCAGGAACACTGCCAGGCCCTTTTAAATCACCTGGGCAGGCTGCAGGCATGGGCGTGTGGGTGGCATGTGGAGCCTCCCTTTGGGGAGGCTAGCCACCGGCTCCACTCCATACCCCGCACCCTTCCCCCGTGGCTAGAGCCAGAAGATCCCTCCTCCCCGCCCAGAGAAGCCCTGAGCACCCCCACCCCCAGGCCAGAGGAGTCCTGGGCCAGCCGCAGCCACGCCTCCCCTCCCTTCCCCTAGACCCCACCTGCTCTCGGGAAAAGCATCTCTCCAAAGACACTTTTGGTATGCCGCATGCAGGTTCCGGGGCTGCTGCATAGCCTGGATTTAGTCCGGGGAAGGGAGGGGAGGCAGAGCTGCAGCTGGCCCGGGGCTCCTCCGGGCAGGTGGGAATGGGGCTACAGCAAGCAGGGGCTCCTCCAGGCAGGTGGGGGATGGGGCTGTGACTGGCCAGGGGGGTCCTCTGGCCGCGGGTGGGGGGGCGCTCGGGGCTTCTCTGGGCAGGTGGGCTTGTGGCTCTGGCCAAGGGAGGGAGACCGGGGGCCCATTGATTGTGCTGTCCTAGGGGCCCATAATTTCTATTAGTGGGCCTGTCTGCCCCAAAGATCTTAGTTTAACTTATGTGGATTTAAAGTTAGTCACACTGGTGCAGCGTTGTGTGTGGAGCCGGCCATTGAGAGCCATGGAGCGTGCTTGCCCCGAATCTCCCTGAAAATGAAATGATTGTTCACTAGGCCCTCATTCGTTCCCCCCTGCCACATACTATTCCTGCTGGTTCTTTTTGCTCTCTGCTTTGTGCCCCTGCAACAAATAAAAATGAAGGTAACAAACTCCAAGGTTGCCTTCCTGGGAAATGAATGAACTCCCCAAGCCTCGAAATCCAGAGTAGCTGACGCATCACTGATTGTGGGGAGCAGCTGAGCCAAATTTGAGTGAGTGGCGCTGTGAGCCCGTGAGCCAGGGGTAACACTCTGAGAAAAGCCCAGCCAGCCCTAGGGGACAGGAGCCTTGGAAGTCCTGGGAGGTCTGACTCTGTGTGACCCAATCCCCTCGACATCACTCCCTCTTGTGGGTGGGATTGATTTTCTCCCCAGGACATGGGAGATCAGGCCAGGTATTCGAGACATAGAGCCACTAAGACTGTCTGGCCAGGAATGGCCAACTCTGCTGAGACAGAATACCACTGAGCTGAGGCAGCTAAGCATGGGATTGAGTCAAGAGAACAAAGAGCAGAGGGGTCTGGGGTCTGTGTTAAAGTGAGCAGGGATCACAGACCCAGGGGAGCCCATGTGGGGACAGAGAGACAAAGGGACAGGCAGTGAGAAGGAGCAGGATGGCTTGTGCTGTTGTAACCTTTGTCTCTCTGTGCTGATCCAAGGACATGCAGATGCCGTGTACCAGGTGACTGATCGATGGTTCCCTTGTTTTGAACAGGCAGCCGGATGTCACTTCAGACCACTGTACCCTGTCCTTAGACCTTAGACTTTAGTCCTTCCCTTGCTTTGCTGCATATTGAGCTACCCACATTTGCCATCCTTGCCTGTCTCCAAATCTGCCTTTCTCTCCAAATCTTCCCATTTCATGTTGAGGTGCTTGATGCCATTCAGAACTGTTCATTTCCATGTTATTGATGGTCTTCCTCTTTCTTCTTGTGTTTTCTGGCTTCCATTCAAGGGTGATATTTGGTAAGCATTCTATTTCCATTCTCAGCACATGGCCCAGTCACTGATGTCTTCTCTTGTAGATTATTTGTGAGCGGGTGCCGTGTCCAGTAATTTTTCTAACATCTTCATCCATCCTAGCTCTATATGTTATTTCCAATATTCTTCTCAGACATTTGTGATGAAATCATCCAGCTTTTACGTATCTTTCTTGGGAAGTTGCCATGTCTCACTGCTATGTGTTGTGATGGCAATACGAATTGCTTTGTACATGTTCAGTTTTGTCTTGAGGGAGATGTTTTTGAGTTGCCAGATATTTGTGAGTCTTCCAAATGCAGTGTTTGCCTTCCTGATTCTTTTTATTATTTCCTCGGAGCTGGTAACATCTTGGCTGATGGCAAGATATGTAAAATTGTCCATCTTCTCCAGTTTCTCTTCTTCAGTTTTGATTTCTGTCCCTGTAGTTCCCATTAACATGACTTTACATTTCTTTGCATTGAAGCTCAGACCCATCTTCTCCATTATTTCTTTTACTTGGTTTGTGCATTTTTATAGTCCATTGGCTTTCATTTATAAGAGTGATGACATCAGCAAAGTCTAGATCAAATAGTCTTGAATTGTTCCATTTTAGGCCATATGTCGCATTGCTTTAATTCATAGGGTGAGTAATGTCTCCCTTAGGGGTCTGGTTTGGCTGCCCTCATGGAGCCCCGAGACAGACAGGGGTCACTGGTTTCCCAAGGCCAATTTCAGAGTTGTGGACACCACAGGCTTGCCCCTGTGAAGCTGGGTGGGTCCTTCAGGATTGGCACACTACAGGAGTCACTGCCAGAAGACGGGATGCAGGTTGGTGCATAGATCAGACCCTGGGTGTCTGTGATAGATGCACAGATGTTACAGCCAGAAGGGACCAGTCTGAGCTCTGTGTAGCACATGCCAGAGAATCCCGCCCCACACATGGGTTCCTACATTAGCCCAGAAGCTAAATCTCTCCCTGCTGGAGCCAGCTGAACATTTCCAGTGAAAACCTTATCCCCAAAGGGAAACAAATTCTCCACAATTGGTCTTTTTCCTTCAGACAATGGAACCATTTCAGTCCGTGCATTATTGGGGGTGGGGAGAGAGAAAGGTGGCCTAGGAGCCCTGCCCTGATGTGGCCACTGGTGTTGTGCTTCACCATGGGTTGTGAGGCCCCTCAGGGCGGTGAGGCCTGGTGTCGGGTCTGGGTGGCCTGTGGTGCCCAGCAGGCCCTGGAGGAACTGCGACTGGAAGACACTGAGGTCACTTAGCACCTGAAGGTTTGTGAAGAGCCTGAGCCCTGTAGGTCCCATGAGGCTCATGATGACCCTGTGGCCTGTGAAGCCTTTTACATTTGTTGTTTCACAAGGACCTGGGGGTGGAAGTCACCTTCCTCTGCAGCATGGGGCAGGGGCACCTATGGGCCATCGCAGAGGACTTGGACATTGGTGCACCTCAGTCCTGTTGGTTCCCTGGCAGTGGCCACAACAGTTTAGCCACCTGAGGACTGAAATGCTTTGGTCTGACTGTAATCTTTTGAGGTATCTGGGTGATGATCAATGGTCTGTGGACTATTGGGGGCAGACTGGATGCTTGAATGGTTCCTTCTGGCCTTAGCAATTTTCATATTATATAGCTTCTGTGATTCAGAGATGTTACTGTGACTCAAGCATCTCTGGATGCCACCTGGGAGAGGGGTCAGGGATTTATAGGGGTACAGAGATCCCCCCAAAACATCATGTAAGTTGGCTACTGAAAGCCTGCTTTGCACTCATCATCATAACTATTCTGAGGCGCGTGTACAGAAAAAAAGGGGAACAGTTGCGTAGATATGCTGAAAATTATGTTCACTAGGTCTGTGGTTAAAAACAGGCCAGTCAAAGGAAGCCTGTCTTGATACAAACTCCTTCAGACAGGGGTTGGGAGGCACTTTTCTTCAGGGGGTCCATGGGTGGCGGGTATACGTGGCCCACCCACCCGCCTGGTTCTCTGGGACTCCGCGCCACCTGCTCACCCACCTGGTGCTGTGGGACTAGAAGAGCTGCGCTGCACCTCCTGCCCTCTTACCCACCCAGTGATCCAGGTCTAGGGGCACTTGGGGGTCCG